CCCCAAAGCTGACAAACATATTTATATTGATCTGTTTGTATGACTAAGTATCAATCTATATTTGATATTTTAAGTTTCTGTTTCGTTACTAAGAAATGGTCTGTAGTATATTTGTAATTTGTATCTATGTTAGTGTAATGGTCTGTAGTTTATATGTAGTTTGTATCAAAGTTAATGTAATGGTCTGTAGTTTATTTGTAGTTTGTATCTAAGTTAGTGTAATGGTCTGTAGTTTATATGTATAATGAATACAGGCCACTTTTTAATGTTATTTTTACATCTTTCGATTCTTAAATTACATCCACATTGAAACGTTTGTATTACTCGTATGTTTTGGATTAGTTTTTAGCCAAAGAGACATAAATGTTATCGGACGCAGTCACCGTCCGAATGGATAAATCTGGTTTTTCGGGCAGACGCTGGAAGCGTCCGCTCGGGTAGTTAAAATTATGGATGGGTATGCGCAGATAGCCTTGCGTAACTTTGCACGAAATTCTGAAACAAACAAGGAAACTTAACCGAATAGCGGGATTAGCTATCGCATTTATAACGCTTCCCTCTCCTCCCACTGTTCAAAGTTTGTTTATTTGTTTGAAGTTAAGCACAAAGCTACACCATGGGCTATCTGTGCTCTGCCCACCACGGATAACAAAACTCGGTTTTTAGAGTTGTAAGTCTGCAGACATACCGCTGTGCCACTGGGGGGGGGGGCTGTTGAAAATGCCGAGCAGCATATCGCGGAGTCGAACCTTGAACCTTCTGATCCACTAGGTGATTTGGAGTATTTATCTAAGATATAAATATACCTTTAGTTAACCAATCTTTTAGCGTTTCGTGAAATAGGAATTATGACATGCATATCTTTCATAGAACTTCTGATTCAAATTGGTGACTTTGCGCGAAACCTTAAAGCCATTCTTAAAATGTTTTGTCATTATTCTTTAATGTATATCTTCTCACAGGTTATCCATTTAGCCTACATTCTCCATAGTAGCCTGTTGGGAAACAACGTGGATTATATGATCCGAAAACCGTTCAAAACGTCAGTAAAAGTTGCTATCTTTGCAACCTGGTTTTTGACGATATTTGAGGTGCCACCTATGAACGAAAATGTTGTTTAGTTACATTCTCGTAGCGCATGATTTACAAGCGAAGGGTTCCCTTGATGCCACTGACCCACTTTCAAGCTATTTTATATATGAGCGTGTTCTTGTAATTGACAGAAGTCAATGACGTACGACCTCCTTATTATTGTTGACTATTCGTCAGAGGCGTTATCTATAGTAGCAGTAAGACTAAAGCTTTCAGCAGTATCGAAGTGAAACAGCATAATAAAAACTTGTCTGATAAATAATAAAACTGATGAGGAACTTTAGTGCCTGGTGAGTAGGACGCAATCTGCAGGTCGCGGGTTCGAATTCCCATCCCACCAAACATGCTAGCCCCTTCAGCTGTGGGGACGTTATAATGAGACGGTCAAGCTCACTATTCGTTGGTAAAAGAGTAGCCCAAGAGTTGGCGGTGAGTGGTATTGACTTTCAGTTGGTTTATCACTGCTAAATTACGAGCGAGTACCGCAGATAGCTCTCGTGTAGCCTTGCGCGAAATATAAAACCAAACCGAAACTTTAGTGAATGGGATTTGTGAAATGTAAGACTGTTGACATGCTAAATAAAGCAAAGTCTGTAATGTAATTGTGACTTTGTATATAGAGAGAACCCTCATTTATGGGATGTTCAGCATTTATCAGTGTTTCCCAACTAATGGTGCCAACTAAATGGGATCAAATAACACCAGTGTGGGAGGCAGAAAGAGGTCTAAATAGTACTTGACCTCCCAGATTCTGAAAAGGATCTCGATCCAGATCAAGTTTCGCTGCTAGTAAGCGGAGTTCGACAATCAAGTTTGGATCAGTGAGGGTGCTCGGGTTGGTTCTGTGGTAGAACTTTGGATTTCGAAGTTGGCGAGCCGGGTTCGACTATGAGCGATACCACAAAATATTTCCCGTACTTAAACTTTTGGTTGCGTTATAGGAGTGATAGTCAATGCCATAGCGTGTATGATAGGAAGTTGGATGCTGCTGACTTACTGCCTTCCCTCTAGTCAGTAATTCAAAATTATGGATGGCGGCAGACAGCCTTTGAAGCTTTCCCATACATACAAATACAAACGATCAAAGCTCGAAAACAACTAGAGCAATCAGTAACTGATATCAAAAACACCAGTGTTTACATTTAACCGAAAGAGGTTAAATCACTGTATCATGGAGAATTTGGATTAGGGTGTTTAGTGTTTAATAACATGATGGTTTTATTGTATTGATACTTTTACATGTTCTACAGCAATTCTTGAACGCTGAATCCGAAAATAATATTCATTTTTTTCTATCACGTACAGATTTTTCTCAAAACGCCATAACACAATACATAAAAGAAAGACCACAACACGTAGTTTTGAGACTAAAAGACGTATATTTCATAAAAAAAATCAGGATGAATCAGGATGCATATTCGTTTGACATCAATGTTCTTCCCCTTTTCTTCAGTTTATTTATATGTCTGTTAACAAACATAATAATAAAAAAATTTCATTGTGGTAAACGAAATAATAATTTGATCTAAGTAAGAGATTTTTACCCGATTTGTAAAAAATCCTTACGTGATAAAAAAAAATGAATATTATTTTCAAAATCTGCGTAGCTGAATTATGGAAAATCCGTTATTAATACCAAAACAACTTTTAAGAAGTTTAAATTCGCAGGCCTGTGTAATTAAGGTATTCATATTCACAATTAAAACACTGAAAGTTGGCATGAAAGCATTGGAAACTAATAAACTTAACATTTGTGACAAAAATCACGTAACCTGCAGAAGCTGTTTATTTTTCTCACGTTGTTTCTAATTTATCCATTTGAAATCCGAGGTGGATAAACTAAGTGGAATCTGAAAAAATCAACAATTTACCTAATTTTTTTATCACAAATTCTAGGTTTTTAGCATTCTTCGTGTTAGCTTTAAGTTCCTAAGCTGTTTTTCATGCTTTCCATGTTTTTAAGCTGTTTTCCATGCATCTGGGAGTTTATAAGATGTAACACATTTAAAATATCCAGAGAGGAGAACAACAACAAGATTTTACGTGTAGTTTTATGTTGTACTGTAATAAAAGTCATGGTAGTGTGAGCGATGAGTCCGCACAGAGCGCTGACCCGTAGAATAGATTAGATTTATTTTAGAAGGGGCGCATAATTTATATCTTGCACAGGGCGCGCCATCAACTGTCAGTACCGCCTCGATAGGAGTTGATAAGAGGAGTATATATCTCATATATTCAATACCTATAACGTTGTTTCTACAATGATGTAATTATCTGTTTCACAAAAATGCGCAAGAACAAGCAGATATATAACAGATTAACAAGAAGTTTCCGTCTTAAGAATGCGTTTTTTTTTTCCTGTCTATATTTAGTAAATATCATTCACTGGTAGAAAATGAAATTCAAATCTGAAAAAACAAAAAAACAGTAAAAGCTATGTTACAACAAATAAGTATTTTGATGCAACAACTGAAAGACGCCAAAGGTAGAGGTTAGTTCCATTATTTTTCTGTTTTAGGTACTAGTAATTGTCACTCTAAACAATGAATTCAATATTTTATGAATAAGCTATTTCTAGTCTACATTGATTGGAGGATATTTAACACGTGCTAGCGAAACGTTTCATTGTGTTTTAAGTGGAGCATTCTGACCTGGAAAAACAGGACTTTTTTCGATCTTTCCAATAAAAGAAAACCACGATTTAATGATTTTTTTTTTGTTTGCCATTTATTTGTGAACTGGACAGGCTTTAGAAAACTCCACGCTTTCTGGACAACCTTGAGCGAATACAAGCATGAACACTGTGTGTCCTCTAAACGCTTTAAGAGACTTCAAACCCATCTCTGTTAACTTCCAACCAAGGTTCAATAAAGACCTTGTTATACTGGCGTCACCAAGGATTCTTGGCAAGGTGTGGTATTCCCACAATTCGACCAAACCCATTAGAGAATTGCACAATTTTTGGACAAACCTTAATCGCGTCCTTCTGTGGACATTATCTGGTACAAATCTTGCAAAAAATCAGTAAACTCATTTTCAGAGGTAGTGGTATCTCTACCTCCTTAAAACGTTTTTATAGAACGAATGTCGTTAACACTGTTTAGAGAATAGTTAGGTATCTGATATTGGTATTTTCAATGTGAACGACACGTAGGCTAAAATGGTCAGACCTGAGATCCTAAGATTCCGGAACATAGCCATCCCTATTTTTAAACTGTAGGACAAAGAGCGATCATGTATCAGTAGCACTCGCCTCTTACATGGCTATTCATAACTGAGAAGTAGAACTGACTGTCACTTTTATAAAGCACCCACAACCAAAAGTGCAGAGCATATAACGGGCTCAAAACGTTAGACAGAAAATTTGGCACGTTAATCTCTTGGTCATACTTAGCCCATAAAGTATTAAAATGTAATCTATAGCCCTCTAAGCGAGTGTTTGCCAACCATTTCCACTTCACAAACCATTAGGAATATATAGTAATATACTACAGTAGGTGACCTATTGACCCAGTACACCAAATGTACATAATTATATATAGAGTTCTAAGGCAAAGTTGGAAATATTTAGGATTTTAATAACATGAATAGTTAATCACAAAGAATAAATGAACTGCGAATGAAACAACATTTTTTCATCAATTCCCAACACGTGTACAAATTTGTCGAAAATTGAATCTTTCACGATTTCTGTTTTTCTTTCATTTATATGTATTTCGTGTTTACCATCCTCACATGGAACTTATGGTTTTTGTTTTTGTTTTCACAAAATACAGGGAGACTCTGGCGGCCCTCTGTTAGTAAGGAATGCAGACAGCAGATGGACAGTGGTGGGACTGGTGTCCTTTGGTAGCAAGTGTGCGGAACCAGGTTTTCCTGGCGTTTACACTAGAGTTGCAAAGTACGTGGATTGGATTACAGAAAACACAATTGATTAACCTAAGAAATTGATGTGAAACGTGCAAATTCGTAAAATAAACTAAATTATTTCATTTGAAACATTTGGGTTGGTGAAAAAAAAAACAACACCAAAAAGAAAAATAACGTATTTCCATATTTAAAATTACTTAAGAGTTACTACGAAGGAACTTGTGTTTGGAAGAAACATGTTACAGTTTCCTTTTTAGAGAAAATATTTCATTTATGTTTATTTTTCAATTTTATTCCATCAACAGTATTTAGAACTTCTGTATTTTGTGAGTAGGATAGTGTATACGTCTATCAAGAAGAAAAAGCATGTTTAAATTTAGTAAATAATGCGTGCGTGTGCACACCGAATTAAGATAAAAACTTGTGTATTAATGATTAACAGTATGCTCCAAATGATGTCCTGATACTAACATACTATTTGGCTATTTGTGTTCATTCTTAACACACAACGACAACACTTTTTTCAGTGATACATGATGACGTGCTCTGAATGACTTGTGCTTCACCAAATGAGTCATTGGTGGAAGAATATTCTCCAGACGTCTACGTACATCCATTGTGATTTAAATAGGCAAACATTTTTTTTTTTTAAGGAGAGTGCATTTAAAACAATTTTAATTTCTTTCGGTACATGTTATAGTATTTTATAAAGAAAAGTAATTTCCCTATAAAATGAGTGTTCATTATATGCACCGATCATTACAACATAACAGGAGAGCAGGAAACGAGGGAGAAATTACTCCCCCTAGATTTGTATGGAGGGGAGCCATTGCTCCCCTAGGTTTGTTTAGAGGAAGCAAGTGGAAACAGGAGCTGCCATCCTCAACTAGAGGAATTCCTATGAGGATAAAAAAAGAATAAAATCTTCCTTCACTGATTCAAATTTTCATTCGTCACAATAGAAAAAAAACAAGCAAACGTATATTGTTTATTGTAGTTAATTTGTCACTAGTTGCTCAGTAACAATGCCTTTCATGTGTAAGTGATATCTGACAGTTCCAGGTCCGTTGAAAATCACTCTCCCCAGGAAAAATGAAAATTCTTACGCCACTGCAACGGAAATTTTATTCAAAAAACAATACATAATTGATAATTTACCAACTACTACAGAACTCCGTAAGGGGGTAGAAAATGTGTATGTGTGGCATGTAAAAATTTCTCTGTTTAACCACTTCTCGGTTGTGTGCCCCCAAAGTGAAGCAGAAAGAGTGATGTGTGAAATGTAAAATCTGTTAGCTTAACCCCTTCTCGGTTGTGTGCCCCCAAAGTGAAGCAGAAAGAGTGACGTCTGACATGTAAAATCTCTTAGTTTAACCCCTTCTCGGTTGTGTGCCCCCAAAGTGAAACAGAAAGAGTGACGTCTGACATGTAAAATCTCTTAGTTTAACCCCTTCTCGATTGTGTGCCCCCAAAGTGAAGCAGAAAGAGTGACGTCTGACATGTAAAATCTCTTAATTTAACCCTTTCTTTACTGGGAATTAACTAAGTATGAATAACATCGTCTTGCACAAGGTAGTTAAGATATACTTATTTTAATCATCATTTATTAATTGCCAAATGAATTAGGTTTGGCTTTTCCTTATCACTGCTGTAGGTTCTGCATACTGCTGGGCATGGCCAAGTGGTTAGGGCGCTCGACTCGCAATCTGAAGGTCGCGGGTTCGAATCCCCGTCACACCAAACATGCTTGCCCTTTCAGCCGTGGGGCGTTATAATGTTACGGTCAATTCGTTGGTAAAAGAGTAGCCCGAGAGTTGGCGGTGGGTGGTGATGACTATCTGCCTTCCCTCTATTCTTACACTGCTAAATTAGGAACGGCTAGCGCAGATAGCCCTCGCGTAGCTTTGCGCGAAATCCATAACAACACACAGGTTCTGCATTGGCAAGCAAATTTGTATGATATCTTGCCAACCATTTTTCTCGTGCTTGTAGTGTAGATAAATAATTTGGCAATAAGAAAAATTTTAGTTTAAATTTACATCTGCAGGTGTAGCTCTACGGCCAAATTAACTCCTTTGACGATTTTTTTTTAGTATTATTTCCATGCGTGAATTCTAGTGTAATAAGTATTACGTAAAATTATCTTAATTTAAAGTATCACCAGCTGGGAGGGAAGGTTTACAATGGCCAAGTAAAATTATCATTCTACTAGTGAGTAGAAATTCATTACTTACATACTTTCCCGGCTTATGTTTTCCCATTGGTGTGTAAATTTATGTTGTATGTAGCAAATAAAATTCCCTTAAATTCATAAACGTTCGGCGTTTGCGTCTAATATGTCACACAAATCTACAGGATGGATCCACAGCTGTTGCCACACATTTAAATATCTTATGTTTAAATAACATTTACTTGTAGCAACAAATCTCACATTGTGTGACTAGCTTATGTAGTGTTCGCTTACACTCGAATATTAATCAGAAACGTGTGCAAGTTAAAAAAAAACAACTAAGGATATTGTTCTGGGGCAACTAACTTTTGTATATTAGCTATTACGTGTTGTTGTCCCTATTCCGTTTAAAGCCCTCCAGTGGCACAGCGGTATGTCTGCGGACTTACAACGCTAGAAACCGGGTTTCGATACCCGTGGTGAGCAGAGCACAGATAGCCCTTGTGTAGCTTTGTGCATAATTAAAAACAAACAAACAAACAATTTCGTTTAAATAAATTGCTAAGAACTAAGGATACTGTTCTGGGGCAACTAACTTTTGTATATTAGCTATTACGTGTTGTTGTCCCTATTCCGTTTAAATAAATTGCTAAGAACTAAGGATACTGTTCTGGGGCAACTAACTTTTGTATATTAGCTATTACGTGTTGTTGTCCCTATTCTGTTTAAATAAATTGCTAAGAACTAAGGATAATGTTCAGGGGCAACTAACTTTTGTATATTAGCTATTACGTGTTGTTGTCCCTATTCCGTTTAAATAAATTGCTAAGATTAAGAAGATAAAAAGAAAAACAATCTGTTAAAAATATTTTAGAAGCAATGTACTTTTATTTACCGTAAAGGCTTAAAGGATCAAAACATCTAAATTAGTACACTCGCTACGGTGTGGACAGACGAAGAAAGCAAAATAAACGTTTATGTTTAAGCTTTGAAACTGTAAAACGTTTCTTGGTGAACGAAATAGGTCAGACAGGAAAGCCTCAGGCTATCCTACATGAGGAATTACTTAATGTGTCGAGGGTCGAGTTTGTTATGCTAAAACGAGACAATCATAGCCGATATAAAATGGCAATGGAATAGCGTGTACAAAAAAATACATTTTGACATTGTATGGAGTTTTGTAGGTAGTGCGATGGCATCTAAAAGTCATCATTTTTTGAGAAGGGCATGACACAGAATATTCAAACACTCAGTTTATAGATGTGTACTCAGATTATGGACTTATAATTTCCAAGACGGGATTATACTTTGTACTTGTTTGTTTGTAATTAAGGACAAAACTACTCAATGAGCTATCTGTGCTCTACATACCACGTGTATCTAAACCCGGATTCTAGCGTTGTAAGTATTTTTTTATTAATGGAATTGGAAAATGAAGGAATATGAATTAACATGGGGTACCACGACCATCCAGATAAAAGACCTGAATAAGTCGTATTTCAGCCGTGGAAAGCAATGTTCGGCGTTTGGTAAGCACAAAATAAGCAACAAACGTACACATGGGCCAGTTCAAGTGTGAGGATTTGCCTAAAATCAATTTACAGACATCTGTGCAATCGGACTATTGAAACAATTTTTCTCATACACTAGAGTGATTATGGAAAGCAACATAACAAACCTTACGAAGGAGTCTTTCACAGTGGAAACTACACTACAGAGCTATTGTCAAGATGCACGGTCGTCACACAGAGCATGACCAGATATGGCAGGCAACATGGTCTGTAACGACATGGTGAGGTTCCAAATTATTTTCAATATTACATACTTAACTTCTATATTACATGTGTATGTGTGTGTGTGTATTATATTCAGCTATTTTATCCAAAGATGTTTTAAACCAGTTGTTCACATAAGAGAAATGTGCCATGGGGGTGTTTATAATGTGACGTTCAACCCCATTGTTCGTTGGTAAAGAGTAGCCCAAGAATTGATAGTGAGTGGTGGTAAATGTCTGCTTTCCCTCTAGTCTATCACTATCATTCAAGTCTATAGAAAGATAAGCGCTAAATTTACGGTTGTACAACGCTAAAATTCGGGTTTCAGGGCAAAGAGAGCTTAATGTGAGGCTATGAGCTAATACAAAGAAAAGAAGAAACTATCACTTCAAAATTATAGAGGGCTATCTGAGATAGCCCTTGAGTAACTTTGCACGAAATTCAACAAAAAGAAAAAAAATTTCATTGGTACAACAGTTACGTACTTTACGTATATATATTAGTGGCTTGAAATAATTGTTAGTAAATCACAATTAGTCATAAAACAATGAAAATAGTTTATAATTCTAGGTACGGCATAAGATATTTCAAGCCTAAGGCTGTGCCAGTTGAGTTGCACATTCTTTTACAATGTAAATTTTGTGGTTTTCTTGGGATCCTAAAACACACCATACTTGAACCACATTTGTTTGGAAACATCAAAATTCTAAACTTAATTGCGACCAGCGAAAAGCTGTATCAACTGTTACATAGGTGAATAAACCAGAATATACTGTGTTTTTGTTTAGTTTTCGAACATTGTTTTTATATAAGTGTACTTTGTGTTATAGAAAGACATTTGGTAGTGAGTGTGTCTAAATGGTGCTCTTTATTAAGAGTGATTTCCGGGCAAAGTTAAAGTGTCAGGGGGATTTGCATGAAACTAACTTTCGTTGAGAGAGTTACCGACATGAATTTCACCAACACAGCGATTACAACAACATTTAAGGCACGAAATTTCGGCGTCGTTTTGAATAAAGGGATGTTTGTAATGTTGAATTGAACGTTATTGGTAAACCAAGGGAGAGTCGTGATTGTGATTCCAACAGGTAAAATAGGCTATACCTCTGCCAACTACCAGTTA